TTTTTTTGTAATGAAGCTAAAACAACATTTTTTTTAGTTTTATTCCATATTTAATTTCCTTTCCTCTGGTATATACTTTGTTTAAGAAAAATTGTAAAATATATTAGAAAAACAGTAATATTTAAAAAAAAACAACAAAGTGGTAAAAAATTTTTAAACTCACCTCGTCATAACTCTTTTATGCAAGGAGCTATTTAAATGGTTTTTTTTTTCAAAAACTGCGCAATTTAATGGGCTTCATTTTGTCTCGATTAACATGTGGTCTATTATTAAAAATAAAGACTGTAGCGGCTCCTAAACGTTGTGATGCGTGTCTCTGCGGCAGGGTACGGCGGCGGAATTTTCCACCCGATCGTGTCGCTGCAAGTCTCTGAATACGGGCTCTGCGGTCATTTTGCCATTATTTTGTTACAACATGCAGTTTGCAGTAAGGGTGAATCGCAAGTGTTGTCTTAAAATGCATAGTTTGTTCTTTATAATAATTGTTGAAATTTTGGTGGTGGTTTTTTAAAGTAGTTGGTGATGGATATAGACAATTATTATTAGTTTAAGTCATTTTTAATATAGCTTACTAACAGCAGCGGTAGGTAAGTGATTTTATTTAATTATGGTAGAGGTGCGATAAAGTTTACAGAAAAGAAGTTTTGTCAAACTGTTATATATATTACTGAACAATTTGTTATTTTATTTTCTATAGAATAGGGCTATGGTTAGTGATATTTTTGCGATAAATAGTATTATTTTGCCCTTTTTTTACTGATTGGTAGCATCATAGCGTTACTAATTAGTTTTATTTTTTAATATGCCATCGTAAAAATCTACTTTTCCAAATATCCATATTTTTTTGACGGATATTGAAGAAATACAACAGAACCTTATTGTACCTTTACATATTTCATAGTATTAAAGTATACAGTGGTGTCCGTAAAGTATGGAATATTGCAAATAATTCCTAAACCAATTTTTTTACACAAAATCGCCCAAACATGTCGATTTTTATTTTTTGTTGCGCATTTTTTCCAATAATTTTTTTTTATACAAGGTGTCTCAAAAAATATATGACATCAAAGTATATTTTTTTAAATAGAAAGCTGGCTTGAGTAATACATCATTTTAAAGGTCTTTTTATTCCCAAATTCAACCTCCGATTATAACTCGATCCACCTTTGTATACCTTTCTATTTAAAATCAATATACTTTGATGTCATATTTTCAATTGAAATATCCTTTATAAATTGTTTTATTGGAAAAAATGTGCAACTAAAAATAATAATCGACGTCTCCGAGCGATTTTGTGTAAAAAAATTGGTTTAGGAATTATTTTCAATATTCCATACTTTACGAACACACTAGGTATATAATGCTTACTCCTAGGTTTGTATTGTAGATAAGTTGTAAAAGAACCTGTTTCAAAAATGGAACGCAAAACATGTTTATTTTGTCTGGAAACTGAGACTATGCAAAATGTAATGGTAAAAAAACCAACTGTTTCTGGTTTTCAAACTATTTTAAAATGCGCAAACGAAAGAAATGACAATATCTCGAAAACAGTTTTGCAATTAAAAAATGATTTACTTGCCCACCCTACTAGATACCCATTTAATATTTCTTGCAGAAAATCGTTTTGCAGCAAAAATAACATAATGAATGCCAATAAGGAAACAAGCGAAGAACCTTCATGCAGTTTTCAAAGATCAAAAGATCAATTTAATATTAAGAAAAATTGTTTGATTTGTGGCAAATCAGGCACAATAAAGAAAAAACCTTTAATTTCCATTTGCACTGGAACAGGTAGCAGAACTAGGAAAAAAATATTCGATGCTGCTACGTTAAGAAAAGATGATGAAATGCAAGGCAGATTACAGTTTTATGAAGATTTATTTGCAGCTGATAGCCAAATATCTCAAAATCTGCTACTCAAAATATGTCAGCACAAGAAATATAAAATCTGTATTAAATAGACGTGCAAAGGTAACTGAAAAAAATTATCTCAAGAAGAACAAGAGAAAAAGATGTGTGAAAGTGACTCTTCAGAAAACACAAGTGAATTTTCAACATCTGGAAAAGGGAAATCGACCGGGGAAAATGATTTACTTGTTCTTGACAAAGCTGCTGCAATTTTAAAAAAAGAGTATTGCTGAACAAATAAAATATAATTCTAATAATAAATCATCATATGTCCATTCAAATAATATTAACGAAGAAAATTGCAGAAAGGAAATACCAGACTTATTATACACATTTATTTCTTGGGTTTTAAATGATTCCAGTTTTTCTGATGGCATTATAAAAGATTTTGATATATCTGTTATTGCTACGAGTAACGCCATTTTAAACAATTTTTACAAAAGTTCAGGTACAACGTCTTTAAGCCTTTACTTATCATTATATGTATATCAAGCCTAAGAAGTAAAAAATTTATCGATATGCTGTACTATTTTGGTTATGGTTGTTCTTATGACGAAATTAGAAAATTGTTAACATCTTTAGCAGGCCATGCTCGAGTAAAAGGAGATGACGACATTTTTATTCCCCATGGAATTAATCCAGTAAATCCCGAAGAAAAAAATTACATACATGCTAGTATAGATAATTTTGACCAAAATGAAGATAAACTAGATGGTAAAAATTCGACTCACAGCTTAGCAATGGTAATTTTCCAAAAGAAAAACGATACAGTTTTAGAACACAAATTGGATCGCCTTTCCAATCGGTCATTAACTAACTAACCTCGACTCTTTTGATATTCATGAGAGCAGAAATATGAGTGTCTATAGAAAACCAACAAAACGTCCTGAGCCCCCACGAGTTAGTGAAGAAACGGCAAATGACTGCTTTGATAGGGAGGCTCCTAATGATTTATCCTCGGATACTCTATGGAAGATAATAAAATATATAAAAAATAGTCAAAATTTTGTAACTTGGCATGAATTTAATAACACTATTTCCGAGAATGTCAAACACTTACTACTTGCCTTTTATAAATGCTCCACCTACATCATTCGATACTATTTACACTGGACTTCTAAAATTAGTTAAAATAGCTACATTACTTAGGCAAAACCACATAATTGTTACGGCTGATATGGCAATCTACAGCAAAGCACAGGAAATATTATGGAATGAACCTACTGATCTACATGGCAAAGTTACTATGAATATGGGAGGTATGCATTTTACAATGGCATTCATTGCAGCAATTAATAATATATTTGGTGAAGGAGGATTAACTCACATATTAATTGAGTCTGGAGTTTACGCTGAAGCCTCTTGTCGTCAAATGCTTCAAGGCAAACATTATTCCCGAGCAATAAGAGCCTTAATATTAGTATCAGATGCTTTAAGTCGACCCTTTTATAGACAACTAATTTCTTGGGCCGAAGAAGAGCGAGATACAACAATATTTAATAAAGATATTTTAAGAAAATTGCATGTCTTAGAAGATACTATGATTAACCATCAACCTTTTAATGAAGAGATATTTCATGATATCTTCGATTCTATGAAAGATGCTTTAGAAGAACTTACAGTTGCATTTATTGATCAGAGATGTAAAAAATCGCCAACTTTTAAATTTTGGATAGAGTTTTTGGAAGCTGCAGATATTTTATTAAAATTTATAAGAGCAGAACGAAATGCTGACTTTAGGTTACATCTAACCGCAATAAAAGAATCATTACCATATCTTAAAGCGGGAGGATTACCATATCTTAAGCGTAGTAACTATGCCAAATTTGTTCCAGTTTATTTATTAGACATGGCTCGTTTAAAGCATAATAATCCAGAAATGTATCAGTTTCTTGAAGAGGGCAATTTTGTTGTGCGAAGAACAGACAACAAAAAATTTAATTGCGTTGGTTCAGATATGGCACTTGAGCAAACAGTAAATAAAGACTGCAAAAGTTCAGGTGGTGTAATTGGTTTCACAAACAATGAAGGAACCTTGACGAAGTGGCTAATTACAAGACATTTAGTTGGAATTCTACTTTGCTGGCATATTCATGCCAAACCAAACCAAAAACCTTATTTTCCCAAAAAATAAAGTGTACAGTTACGGGGCAGCAGAACGTAAACGGGATGAAAAGGATGTTAGGAAAATGATTTCAATAATTGAAAGTACCTGGATAAATCCCTTTGACAGCAGCATTACATCTAATGACCTAATTCATATTGCCACAGGAAAGATTGCTTCACGGGAGATTCACACATCCTTAACTACATTTAAAGAAAAAGCAGAGATAAACAATCAAGCTTTTATCCAAGGACGGCTTACAACTCACGGGCAAGCAAGTTTCTGGAAAGCCGTGTCGCGTAATCCAATTATTTCCTTTAATGCCGATAACATTGGTTACAAGAAAACAGAGTCAAAAACTGTTATAAATCCGGAGTATATGTTTAGAAGAATTATAAGTGCTGCTCAATTTAAAGAACTTGATTTCAAAAATATGTTATCATTCGAATTAACTCCTACTCCTGCTTCGTTATTTCATGAGGACGGCTCAATGAGGAAAACTGCAAAAAGTGAATTGGCAAAAAAATTAGAATCATTTAGTGATTTAATAACTGATCCGCCGCAAGAAATTATCGAATATTTTATAGATGGAATGGTAGTTTTACAAGAAATTAATCAAAAATCATTAAAAACATTCGACGAATTAGCTCAGGTTGTAACAAATAAGATTTTAAGCATATTTAAAAAGCACAATAACTGCCGTAGAATATCAATTATATTTTATAGATATGACTACAAAAATTCAGTTAAAGTATTTGAAAGGCAAAGAAGAGGACAGCACAATTTGGGGACTTATTGTATTATAGGATCCAGAACAGTATTGGGAATTCAAATTAAGATCGCAGCGCCACGGCGGTTATTGACAGAACTAGTTTCTGCCACATTATTTTCTAACCTCACTTTCGTTTGTTATTACGTCTGTGAATTTTGGTGTTTTTTTGCGTTTTTATTACGATTTTTCATTATTTTTGCTTTCATTTATTGTTATTTTACTGTTATATTTTATTGTGATTTTGCTGTGATTCGTGTAAAGACTTTTAAATTGTATTTTTTGGAGTGGCTCAAAACCACATTGTTGGGTGAGTATGATATAAAATGATTGATTTCTATAATTTTCTTTTTATTTCTGTTGTTTGTAGAGTAAATATGGCTCAAATAACCCTTAGCCTTACTGAATATCTCAGTTACATTGGTTGTAATGCGAATTCAAGGGCAGTGGTTGAAGGAGAAGAGGTGGTTAATGCAGGCCATATAATCTTGTTTGGAAAAACTGCATTAACCAAGACTTTCCTGAAAGTGTGTGCTCTTTGCCTGCAAACTAGTGCCTTACAGTCAGATCCACATGAATTAAATGGGGAATTAACAATTTCCAATAGGTCTGCTTCAATTAAGCAAATGTACTGCACTTGTAAAGCCGGGGCTGGTGGACAATGCAAACATATTTCAGCTTTCCTAATACTGTTAACAAGGTAGGTTTTTTTTGTTATTATTGTCCAGTTTAGTTATAAATTTTATGTAAATTATGTTAGAATACTTATTTACTGTTGTTTATATTTCAAGGCAAAATCTGTTTGAGTTAGAGGATATTTCTCAAACTCAACTTGCATGTGCTTGGTCTGGCAGAAAAGGATTTGTACATAATAAATATAAGGCTATTCCTGTACTTGAAATGCCTTGCATCAGATCTAAAGTTGGTCTGGATGTAAGTTCAGATCTTCAAAAACAAAAATGTATATTTGAATTTTTTATCAAGAATTTACCAAACTGTGCTATTGCAAAACATTCGTAAGTATATGCAGTAATTAAAATTTTTTATATAACTATGATCATACATGTTTTAGAAAAGGACGTGTCAAGAATTTGGACAGTACTGTAAGCAGTACCAAATCAATCGATTTGGATGCAGTAGGCTGCAAAATTTTAAATAATGCTGCACAGTCCATCATATTAATGGAAATTGCTAGCGTGGAAGCTAATTTTATATCAAATTGCTGTGCAACACTATACCGTAGTATCTTGAATGAAGATCAAGATGAACTATTCACCCTTAAGCAAAATTCCCATGAGTGGCATGAAGCCAGAAAATATCGAATTACTGGCTCTAGGTGTTATGAGATCTACACCTATGGAGGAATGGACTGGGAAATGAAGAGTAAAAAGTACTTTTGCCCGAAATCTTTTACAAACAAATATGTAAAACATGGCCAAAAATACGAAAAACTTGCGAGAGAGTGTTTTATGTCAAAAACAGGATATGACGTAATTGAATGTGGAATGATAACATCACCAGAAAACAAATGGTTGGGCTTTTCTCCAGATGGTATGGTAGTGAATTCTGAGGGAAAGCCAGTTGCATTATTGGAAATTAAATGTTTATTCTTAGGTAAGTCCTCAAATACCTTTTTTAAACAAATAACAAAAAATGCAAAATATTTCAGGTGCAACAATGTCTATTGAAGAGTGTCTAGGATCAAGCACCTTCATCATAAATTCAAATGGGAAATATACACTTAAGAAAAAACACCAATATTATGGTCAAATTCAATTAGGAATGAGCATATTGAACTTAGAAAAATGTTTTTTATGTTTATATGCATCTTATGATGACAGTTGTGTAATATTAGAGGTGGAAAATGATTATAAATTTTCCAAAACAATGTTGGAGAAAATTAAAAACAATTATTTTAATAAAATGATACATTCAATATGTGAGATGAAATAAATGGCCAATGTCTCAGTCTTTAATGGAGTAATTTTGTTTAATTTTTAAAACCAATGAACCCCTTGTGTAACCCATCCCGTGAAGTCATAATAATGATCAAATTAAATCAAACCATGTCGTAAACAATGCAAAAAATAATACAAAAATACATGTACTTTCGTGAAAAAAAAACTATAAAAATATAAAAAAATATGTACCTACAACCACAACCTAGTCCTAAAAAAAATTAACTACATATTGAAGCATAACCAATCCTTATAAAAATCTTTCATCAGATAGTATAGGAGCTGACAGATTAGTTATTCCACAAATAATTGTAAATATTTCATCAATTTTTGAAACTAATGACCACTGCAACTTTCCACTAATAATGTTAAAGATTTTTAACCTCTGATTAGACCTTTCAATATGCACTCGTGCTGCAGCAATTTCTTTATTACAAATAGCTTCTTCAACTGTAAGTTGCTTTTTGTTTCGTAAAAATGGTGGTCTTATTAAGTTAATTTTATACATAGCACATAAATTGTCAATCAGAAAACCTTTGTCAACCATGATTGAATCTCTATTAGGTGTTAACAATTTAATTAGGTCACTTTCCTCAAAAATTAATTTATCGGATGCTCTTCCACCATAAGATTTACTGATGAAAGTTATTATCCCCCCAGGAGACACCCCAGTCATAAACTTGACAGTTGTAGATTTTTTATATTGGGAATAAAACTTAATTCTACAACACAAGCAGCTTGGTTTTTGAATAAAGATTTCTGTACAATCTAAAACAACTCGACAATTCTTAAAAGATTCAAAACATTTTGGCAAATTTTTTGAGATTTCTTCTTCAGAAGGAAAATAAATACATGATTTAAACACTTGACTTAGAATTGTTAAAAAATCAAAAAAATATGTTTTGCACAGCTGACCAGATATATTAAATAGTGCACCCAAAGTAATATAACTTAAGTCCAATTTTAATTTTGCCATTGTTAAAAGAACTCTCTCTCGCACATCTAGACGATGTGATCTTGTATCAATTGTAAATTTTTTTTTTACTATTTCCACAATACATTCTAGAATTTGAAAATTATTAATGCCTGTAAAACTTCTTAATGCAGAATCGGTTTTTAGTAAATCACTCAGTGTGTTGATTTTAGGTGTGTCCACTTGCACTTCTGAATCTCGCACAGTCACTTTCCTGTTTTGTAAAAGCACACTATCTACTTCCTTATCACTAACATCTGGTGTAGATTTCAGCAAATCTATTAAGCTACCTGCTTCATCATCTTGGTCATCTTCATTGGAGTCCTCATTTGTGCTCGTACATAAATCAGTTTCGTTTTGATTGGACAATTTTCTCTTTTTGTATCTAGAAGCACGATCAGATGATGATGTTGCAGTTGCAGATTTTGCTGAACTAACTGTAGAAATGGGAAGATTTTGAGAAGGTACTGCAGTCTTTTTGAGAACTCTACCCCTTTGTGTGGTTAACCCTGCAATAGAAAAGAAACAAACTAAATTAACATTTAAATTTTGTCACTTCAATAAAGAATATTTTTAAAATTAAAATTTAAATGAAATCACTCATTATTATACTTAGTATTTACCTTTGTTAAAATAATCATCCTTGACAAAATGAAGAGAGCACACTTTCATAGTTTCGGAAACTTGCTTGCCAATTTTAAGTTTCAATATCCAAGCTTTTCTTTGATCCATTAAACACTTTCCCATCTTATTTTCGACATAAACTTTCCTAGCATCCTTTTTGGGAAATCTGTGAAAGCTTAATTCTCCTTCAGGGTCTTTTTTGGCCCAGGATTTGCACTGTGGCACACAACAAAAATTGTTATTGAACGCCATGCTTTGGTACACTGGTTCACTGGTCGTTTCTCCTTTTTTAACCGACTTCAAAAAAAGAGGAGGTTATACGTTCGACGCGTATTTTTTTTATTTCTAATCCTAACACAACACGCGATAACAGAAAAACAAATATAATTTTGAAAAAGACACAAAATGAGTGTAAACATTAGATAAACAATCGATATAAAAGTAAGGTTAGGAAATAATGTGGCAGAAACCAGTTGATTTTAGAGCCACCAGAGGGCGTATCGCTTCTCTTGAATTCCCAATCTAATTATAAGAATTTCTTGAGGTCCGCAGAGACACCCATCATAACGTTTAAGAGCCGCTACAGTCTTTATTTTTAATAATAGACCACATGTTAATCGAGACAAAATGAAGCCCATTAAAGTGCGCAGTTTTTGAAAAAAAACATTTAAATAGCTCTTTGCATAAAGGAGTTATGGCGAGGTGAGTTAAACATTTTTTAGCACTTTGTTGTTTTTTTTAAATATTACTTGTTTTTCTAATATATTTTAAAATTTTTCTTAAACAAAATATATACCAGAGGAAAGGAAGTTAAATATGGAATAAAACTAAAAAAAAATGTTGTTTAAGCTTCATTACAAAAAAAGTTATGATTTTTTCAAACTAAAAATTAAAAAATTCCATTTTTCCAGTTTTTTGCCTATATTTTTGGTCTCGACCAATGGAGAGAGTCGTCAATTTCCATTTTATATGTAAGAATACATGCTTTTTCAAATTCTGAAAGTCCCATTTGGTTATACCTCGTTTTTTTTGTGCATCCTAGAGCGGGCTTTCCGACGGACTACAAGTAGATACTCACTCTTACAAGTACATACTCACACTGGGTTGGAGAACGTTTGGTTAAAAAAAGATTGTTAAAATGGATAAAATGCCAAAAAAACACAGTAAGTAGTAGTAGTAAGGAATCTCGGCTGAGACAAGACTTTCGTAATACAAAATATTTAGTAAACACTATTTTTTAGGTTGGAGAGAAAAGTTCTGTCGTTTAAATTTTCTTTCCTTGTTTGTTAGGTATTTAACGTTAAACTTTTAACGAAAGATAAACTTGTATATTTTGTAAAGAAATAATTTTAACACATAGTTTATCAATTACAATTTTACCGGCATTACCTTTTTCACCTTCATTAGCTACATTTAAAAATACAAGTAACACTACTACTACTGCCATTACTCGCTGACGAGTATTTGACACGCATCAAAAGATGGTTACGCAAGGCGTTTCCTGTCATGAGCTTTTCTGTGACTGAAAAGCCCGATACGTGATGTTATATCTCTTCCGAACTCCGGACATTCAAAAATCTCATTACTTTGTTGCCTCTTTACTTTTTGGTTGTCGTTATTAACTGAATTTACAATTCTCCTCCATTGCGTTCTATTGTGCGCTGCTGCCTCCCACCTATGCTGCATACTTATCCCCTTTAAGTTTTCATGAACAACATCCTTGCATCTTTTGAGTTGTCCACCCGGTTTCCTCTTACCAAGGTAACAAGCTATTAACTTTCAGAGATTGATGCAGATGCTTGTTTAACAGCATTAAAATCTGAAAATCTCTCAGCCGATGAGTTTGACAGCTATTGGAAAGCTTGTGCCCAATGTAGGTTGAACGATATTAAGACGATAAAAAGCAGTGCGGAAGTTTTACAAAAATGGCCTTTTTACAAAAAACCATATGGATATCGCCTGATAAAAAAATTAAAATTCAATACCTAATCACAATTTTGGTTTGGTTGTGTTATTTTATAAGACACATTCTTATCAGCTTATGATGTTAATGAGATCCTTACTGGTGAGCTCAAACTTTCTGTTATGTACATGGGCTTCAATCCAAAAGCTATTTGCGACAGTCTGATTAGAAAAGAAATAAAAGGATCTTGGGTTAGCTATATACAGGGTGACAATTTGAAAACGAACAGTATTTAATATTGCCTCTACGCATGATAGTATGAAAATTTGGCGAAACACGTCAATTTACATACCAAGGGGGACAATTTTTGAGGCATTTGTTGTCGTGTTACTTTCAACCCCTTGACCCAAGGGCACCTACCCCTAAAATTTTAAATAGCAACCCCTATTTCTTTTACCATTTTTGTGTTTCTTATAGAATTCTACATAAACTGCATTATTTTTTTGGGAATTTTATAAGGAACACAAAAATGGTAAAAGAAATACGGGTTACCATTTAAAATTTTTAGGGGGTAGTGCCCTGAAGTCAAAGGGTTGACGACAACACGATGCCTCAAAAACTGTCCCCCTTGATATGTAAATTGAAGTATTTCTCGCCAAATTTTCATACTATCATCGGTAGAGGTAATATTAAATACTGTTCGTTTTCAAATTGTCACCCTGTATGTCTTTTTAATAAGAGGTAACAAGATCTCAAAGATGGGTGGAAGCACAAACCAGGTAGGTAAGGCTAAAATAAATGCATTAAAAGACAAATATGGCACAGTTGACTAGGTTAAAGGCAAAGGATCCGACGCAATCAACTTAGCACGTATGGCGGCAATAGCACCTAACATGGTGTGTATGATGTTCTTGTAATGACCGATGCCTCTTCTTATAGGCCAATTCCGAAAGAGGAGCTACAAAAAGTGATTCCTAATTACCCAAAATATTTGACTACTACTTTATTATGCTGCCTGATACCAAAACAGAAGAACTTCGTTAATGAAACTGATTTAACCATTATAATCAATTGTTTCTGTTTTTACGCTGTCCACGAGTCAAGGAGGCTTGGCTAGAAATTTGATTCAGTCAGAGACGCCAGAGATAAAGTAAAGCGTTGTTATGGCCTCTTTTAACTCTTCTTATATTGCTGATCCTGGCAGGGTCGCCATGTAATGTTTGCATTAATGTGTTGTAATGTTGTATTACATGCTCTGATGGAAACTCTAGGACTATATAAAATGGTTTGAACCCTGTCAGGGTTCAACCACCGCCCTTTCGGGTAGGTATAAGGATCTTAGCCTAGGTGCAACAGTAGTGCTAGAATTTGCAGAAGTACTTCAAAAAAAGTACACTAAGGCTGTCCCTTTTCACTTATTTTTCGATAACTTTTTTACTTCCCTTCATTTACTCGAAGAGCTCAAAACTATTGGACTGAAAGATCCGTACCTTTCAGACCAATATACCTTTTTGTGCCCGTGCACAATAAGAGAAAATCGCGTCGGTAAAGACTATCCTTTATCTCACTCCTCAGTATTGAAGAAAAAGGAACGCGGTACATTAGAATTTGTATCTTCTGATACGAGTTCTATAATTTTATGCAAGTGGTGTGATAATAGCGTGGTAACTATCTTCAAATCACACCAAAGCTTCAAATCACACCAAAATAATGCCCACCCTCCCAGTAAAAAGATTTTCCCAGAAAGAGAAAAAAACGATTTACGTACCACAACCACATGTAATAAAAAAGTATAATGAGAACATGGGTGGGGTTGACAGGACGGATCAAAATATTAGCCTCTATCGAACTCAAATAAGAGGTAAAAAGTGGTATTTTCCACTAATATCTCACTGTCTAGACATGGCCGAACAAAATGCTTGGCAGATATATAGTCGTTAAAAAGTCTAATTATATTTAAAGAAGATATAATTCCAACTAATTGCATTATAAGGCCAATAATGCACAAGTAATATCATTAAAATTTTAGCGTTTTTAATTTGTGGAACATATTTCTTTAAAAAATTAACCTGTAACAATAGTGGTAGGTACGCGCACAGATTTTTTCGCTAGGTTACTTATTAAGTCGTTAAACAGGCCTATAAAAGCTATAACAACATAGGTAACTAATATTTATAATTTCATTCGAGTTTTAATCTCAAATAATAAATGTTTTTACTGGTGTATTTCTGAAGTGTTCATTATTAAAAGTAGATATTCTTCAAGTTATATGAAGTAATAAGTAATGTTTCCGGTGAGACCGCGTATATGTCACCGGATTCTGGTTAGTATAAAGACTTTTTTCTATAGATATAATTTTTTCTATATTTTTCTTTCAAAATAAGACTAATTTCTTCTTATTCTTTTAAATATTACAGTGTTTCTTTTTCCTAAAATGTTATACTTAATTTTCGCTTAAAATTAAAAATCAAAAATGGAGGAAAATATACGTTATTGAATAAAGTTTATACAAATCACTTTACCATAACAAAAAAGTAAAAACATGTCATGGCGGAAGATATTCAGGTGGCATTTCACATATTTATCTATTAAAATCGAGATTAAAATAATAAACTTGCGTAACATGTTATACATGAGATAGAAAGTTTCAGAATCGATTAATACGCAATACGCTACGCAGTCAACTTGTCCCTATGCGCGGATGAGCGTCTTCAAGACTCTTCCATCGGCCAGGGAGAAGTGTCTAGCCCTAACAGTCAACTATTAAGCTTGACCAATCAGGTTGGTTAGCGTGGTTATTTGAAGGGTGTTAATTCATTTGTGTTTGTCAACAACCCTAACGTGTTTGGTCGGGATTAATAGTTGCGTGCTAGGGCTAGACACAAGTGGCCAGGGTCACGACACCGCGCGCCGCCGAAGAGGAATCGGCCTACGTTTGGCTAAACAGGCTGGACACGGTGGACTACGATATTGGCGAGTCGTGCGAGTGAATATTTATAAAAATTTGCAAAGTAAAATATGTTGGAAAAATAATTAATCCATACATATATAAAAGCTCAAAGGTTCTTTTTGTTGCATCCATCCCGCCGAAACCGCTTCACCAATCTTAATGATTCTTTTTTTAAATGAAAGGTATATATGTGTAGATTTGTTATGAAGTATTTTTATAGTGCTTAATGGCTATTTCTTTGTATAAAACGACTAAAAACTAAAACATACCTGAAAAACACCTACACACAATACCTCCAGAAATAAATTATTTGTCATTGTCAGTGGTGTGTCAGTTAGATTATATATTAAGTTTTTAGATATTTTAGGAGTGCGTTCATACTCAGTAGAGGGAGAAGGGGGTTTCTGCGCCAGTGGAGGGTGGAGGTGGAGGAGGGAGCGCACGGCGCATGCGCGAGGAGTGGGGGTACAGCGCAGGCGCGAGGAGGAGGGGTACAGCGCAGGCGCGAGGAGGAGGGGAGCTGTCAAACGTCAAATGTCAAACGTCACCTGTCACCCGTCATCTGTCAAACGTCAAACCTGTCATCTGTCAAATGTCAAACGTCAAACCTGTCTTACGTCATCTGTCAAACGTCAAATGTCAAACGTCAAACCTGTCTTACGTCATCTGTCAAATGTCATCTGTCAAACCTGTCTTACGTCATCTGTCAAACGTCAAACCTGTCAAACGTCAAATGTCAAACCTGTCATCTGTCAAACGTCAAATGTCAAACGTCAAATGTCAAACCTGTCTTACGTCATCTGTCAAATGTCATCTGTCAAACATATCTTACGTCAAACGTCAAATGTCAAACGTCAATCTGTCTTACGTCATATCTGTTATATACAAGGTGTTAATGAAAAACAAACGCTTTACATCATAGATTGTTTTTTCACACCCGGTATATATTCCAAAAAAAAATCTTTCCATGTTTTAACACAGATGATAATTTTAACGTTTGACGATTGAGTTTTAATTAATAATGCCTTTTGGGTATTCATAAATAATAATATTTATTTAAACGGTAAAAATAAATCAAACTTGATTTATCCATAACGATATGATGAGAGCGATGTGAACAAGACAATGGTTTACAGTAAATGATCTAATACTTCAATCTTTACGGCTTCCTCTCATGATGTCATGCTTTTTGTTTTTCTAGAAGATGAATTATTGTGATAAATATTTAAGTAAAATAAAAATAAATCAAACTTGGTGAAAAATACATTGTGCAACATTTATTCCTTATCGGAGTTTGCGGTCGGTATTATTTTTAATCAGCCTTGGCGGTTTCCGGTATGATGACTATGATGTGACGCATTTGTTTTTCTAGAATTTTTCCAACATTGTGCAATTCTGCCGTGCTAAGACAAAAGGTCGTAACTGACAGAATTTGTGATTTTGAGATTTTGATATATTTGGAATGAGTATAATCAGTTCTATTAGTATACCAAGTCCAGTAATCGTATCTGTACTAGAAATGCTCAAAATAATATAACAATTTTGTCGTATTTGACAAATTTCAAGCAAATACCAAGTCAAAATGTCGTATATGTTTAATACAAAAACAAAATGTCTTATGTGTCACATAAAACATATTGATTTAGCTCATAAAAAATATATATACATCAATACAAGATCAAAATGACGTATCTATCACTTACAAAGTCGAATTGTCGTATATGATTCTCTTACGACTTTTGGACCAAGTATCAAGTGCATGTAGCACATGTTATGTGCATTAAATTGTTGAGTTACGACTTAATAACGTTGCGGTTACTTCGGGAAATAAAACAAAAGTGTGTTAGGTTAGGTTATTTATTGTTTTGAGATTGGGATATTTTTATTTTAAGTGTCTTGATTTGTTTGCTGTTATTATTATAATATGATAGATGACCAATATTGAAGTATACCGAATTATTCATTAAGATGTTCGTGTAATTCTCAGAACCGCCTTCCTTGCTCTAATAAAATCGTATATTGTGTTTCAGACAGTATTTAACCGGTAAGTTTAAAATAGGTTAGCTTTTCTTCTGTTTTCCGTCAATCATAGAGAGGTTGTAAGCTGAGTGTATAAATTATTGATCTTGAATTCAAAAACTAAACTTTATTACTTAATTTCATAGAGACCGAAAATGTCGGACAGATCGAAAAAAATGCTAGCGTTGGGCAGAGCTAATCAGCAGCTATCAGCACGATTCAAGATCGCGCCAAAACGTAAAACAAATACTGATTTAGATAATGATGCCATTTTCAAAGATCCAGACTACGAACCTAGTAGCAGCGGAGTTAAAAAAAAAAGTAAGTGTGAGGTATTTATAACCACTACATTAAAATTTTACTATATCAATGTTTTTGATTTAATGTCGATAAACACGGTGTCCGAGTAAAATAAGTTAACCTGTTTTTATTTATTATAGGTGTTCACAGAATTATCGCTATAACAATAATAATAATAATTTGATAACGTTTACAAAATATGTTAAAATTATTTATTGTGTCACTTTATTTATCTCCACTTATAAAGATTTTAAATGTTTTTTTTGCTAATTTTAAAATTTAAATTGTATTAAATAATTGTTGTACCTATTTCATATTCTTTGAAACCAAAATTAATTCTTTTATTTAATAGATATTTCTGATTATTGTGTTATTTTTGTGAAAATTATATGAAATTTTAGAAATTTGTTCAGATAAGAAATTAAACAATAAGAAGCATGTACGACGATTGTTTGATTCCCCGGCTAAAATGACCGCATGCGACCATAACAAGCCAGAAAACAATAATATAGAACCCTCGGTAGAAATATCAGAACATATTTTACCAGCGATTGAAAGAAATGTAGAGCAAAGTTCTAAAGGTAATATACAAAATAATGTAATTTTCTGTGACTATGTAATAATTATTGATAATTCACTTATTAAAAACGGCGTAATACATTTTTTGTGCGTCTCTAATTCCAACAATAAAACCAACAAAATAAACAATTATTATAAAAACAATACACTTAAAAGCAAAAAAGAAAAAGCTCTATTTTTATAAAGTGCGTTGTTTTTTGACCCGTACTTATTTTTTTCAGGATATGAAAGAATTAATATAGTGTCCAACATCTCAATTCGTACAGTAACTGATAAAAGTTCAGAAGATATTGCCAGGGAAGTTTTGACCAATATAATTAATAATGCTATAGAAATTGGCGAAAAGATTAAACAGAAAATGTATACAAAGAAAGGAACTATTCGAAAAAGAATTAAATTTGAAACCACACTGAAAGAAAGAAAAAATAATAAGAATAAGGACAGACTTGCGAAGTTTGTCCTCAGAGAAACATGTGCGAGTGGGTGTGTACGTAAATGTTCAGAAGTCATCAATAAAGGGAGACAAATGAATATTCATTCTCAGTATTGGCAATTGAACCAAACCCAACAACACCAGTTCATATTTACTGCCGCAAAGAAAACCATGAAAAAAAAAGAAATGTGTAGGAGAAAACTCTAGAAGGAATAAAACGATAAAATATTACTTAAAAGACGAGCAAGGCATAGATTTTCAAGTGTGCAAAAAGTTTTTTTAGGAACGTTAGGGTATCAGTATAAAAATGATCGCATCGTAAGGGATGTTCTCTCAAAAACTTCACCAGAGGAACTTACAGTACAACCTTCCAAGAAAGGTCACCCATCGGAAAAAAAAGTAGATAGGACAGCCATATCGGATCATATAAAATCTTTTAAACCCACAATTTCACATTATCGGCGAGAACATGCTCCAAATAGGCTCTATCTCCCGAGTGATATAAATATTAAAATGATGTATGAAGACTTTTTGGTCAAAAATTCTGACTATAAGATTTCTTACGAACTCTATAGACAAGAAGTAAAAAACATGAATATATCGTTTGCAGTGCTTGGCAATGAAGAATGTTGGCAATGTGAATCCTTCAATAATCATGCTAGAGCCTCACCCCACTCTAAAGAGAATATAATTTTTGATTGCGAGCACTGCAAGATATTTGACGAACATAATAAAAATGCCATTCTAGCACGCCAAGAATACAAAAAAGATGCGTTGCTTAATAATACTTGTGAATCAACAAGTGTATTCGTTTCCGTCGATTTACAGAAGGTTAAATATATTTTTTATTAATTTGCGTGAACTATAATAGTTAATAATATAGGTACTTTTCTTTGGTTTTAGGTTATTATGCTTCCAAGATGTGATATGTTCAAAGAAATAATATTTGTTCCAAGAATAATTTGCTTTAACGAAAGTTTTGTCCCTCTTGGCAAACAAACCAAAACTAAACAGCCAGTCGCTGTTATCTGGCACGAGGGTACTGCAGGACGATCACAAGGTGATATAATATCAACATTCAATAAATTTTTGCTTCTGAACAGAGATGCGATAGAGATTACAATATGGATGGATAACTGCGCAGCTCAGAATAAGAACTGGATGCTGTACTCTTTTTTTGTCTACTTTATAAATTCAAAACAAACATCTCTGAAGCAAATTAAATTAAAATATCTGCAAACGGGTCACACGTTCATGAGTGCCGATTCCTTTCACCACCAGGTAGAGAAATCTTTAAAACAAAAAGGAAAAGTTTTAGATTTTGAAGATTATAAGAATTGTATTCAATCATCAAATAGTGGCAGAAAAAATGTCTGCAGAAATTAACTTCCTATATTTTTCTGACATATAAAAGATTCTTTTCTTCCCGATTCAAATTGAACAAAACTCAACCAAAACCGTACCTTTCTAATATTGTCTGAGGTTATGACTTTGTTCAGGAGGCTGTTAGAACATTACTTGTATAAGACTATTTGTTGGGACGCTCGCTTGAACTCCTTCACAAATCGAAGCATTAAAGAATTGTGTTTCCTGAGCCAGAAAAAAAAGAGAATTTTACGCGCGAGAGAGGTATCAGTGTGACTAGAAAACAGAGAATCTTATACAAAAAAATTAAACATCGTATGGGTACTCACCAAAGTAGCAATTCGATGTTTTTGGCAAAAGGTTTTGCCCGAAAAATTCCAGAAGAAAGCAATTTGATGGACGCTAATTCTGTATTCTCGATTTCACTTTTTATGTTCATTATATCTATTATACTTTTAGTACTATTTTGCTTGAAGATAAATTTTTATTTTCCGGGTTATGTTAATCTAACGTTAATACTAATGTTTTCTGAGTTTATTACCCTATCCGATTGTTTTTCATTCTCACTGATGGAATGAATACTTTTTAGTCATCTCCGTTGAGTCATATAAATCAAAAAAGTACCATAACACTAATATACATAAGTAAAAATAATTTAAAAAAAAAAATATTCAAAATATATTTTTTATAGACCAGTATGTCGCTATACTAATATACATATTTTGTACAGTTTATAATACTAAGACATAGTCGTTATCTCACTAATCCAATCATTAAAGATCGATTCCTGTCAAAAGGAAGGTCACTTTCAAACAAAAAATCTGCTAAAACTGCTTACATCACATACATGTCGTAATCTTTCTCGCATAATGACCCAAATATCTCTCACTCTACATTAACCGTAGCATTGGGACATCCAATTATATCTATATACCATTATGTATTTTTTTCCGTTCATCCAAAAAATTATGATATCCAATCAACTCGTTACGTCCAGCACTGATATTCAAAGATTTGAACTGTCATCGAAAAAACGCAAATATCTCCGAAATTCATATTCATCAGTTACGACGTCTTGTCTTAGCACGGCAGAATTCTCCTTATCAGTTTGCGGTTTTCCGGTCTAGCATTGTACCCAGCAAACAACTTCGCATCACATCAGGGGGATTTGTTAATAAAACGGCTTGTGGATGCGGGTATTCCGGAGTCTCTGTGTCGCTGGATTAAGTCAAACCTGACAGGTAGGAAGCAATCTGTTTTTGCGAATGGGTTTCTTTCTCAACCTTTCGAAGCGACATAAGGTGTACCTCAAGGAAGCCACTTGGGTCCACTTTTTTATTATTTTACCTAAATAATATAAACCAATGTTTTAAAACTGCACGCTTTTTACTTTATGCGGATGATTTAAAGATTTATAGTGAAATAAAAAGCCAGGAGGATTGCCATGGCTTACAAGAAGATCTGAATGGACTTGTCAATTACTGCCAAAGGTCTAGTTTATTCCTCGAATTTAGAAAATGTAATATAATAACTTTTACTAGAAATAAGACAGTTTTTCCCTACGATTACAGCTTAAAAATTGTTCTGAAAAGAGTTGAACAGTTTAAGGATTTAGGTGTGGTGATGGATTCTAAAATGTCATTTTAATTTTCATATAGAATATGTTATCAATAGCTGTAATAGACTTTTAGGTTTTGTTCTAAGAAATCGTGTTTCTTAATACTAACTCTAAAACATTGCTCACGTTATATTATGCATTCATTCATAGTCGACTCAGTTTTGCGTCAGTAGTGTGGAACCCATGTAATGTAACCTATGAAAGGAGATTGAAGAGGATACAGAATAAATTTTTAAAAAACATCTAGCTTACAGCCCTTAATATAGTTTATTAGTCACGGAAATTTTACTCCCATTTACAAGCAATTTTGTGTCCTACCTCTCTTTCATAGGAGAAGGGTAACTGATCTCATAACTTTTTTAAATGTATAACTGGTCGACTGAATTGTGAACAAATAATAGAAAAAAAATAACGTTATCCCAAAGAAACATTTACATCAATTTTCGCCACGACAATAATTATACCACACCTTTCCGTAAAACTAACTCAGGTCAGAACTCTCCTGTCTGTAGAATGATAAGAACTTTTAATGTATATTGTGAAAATGAGAACATTTTAGATATGTCGATATTACTTAAGTTAAGAAATACTTTTAAAGATTTGTTTTTACGATTGCCTAAATTATAGTTTATTTTTTATTTTTTCTTTGCTATTTTAGTTGGATTAAGTTAAGATAGAGATAAGTTTGTTATTTAAGTAAGTATAACCACTGTATATATTAAAATTAAGTCGAGGATGCTTTTTGGGGATTTTTTTTCTGTTGCATCCCAGTCTTTTGTAAATAAATAAATAAATATGCATTTTTATAGCACTTACAGTTCTGTTTCGTTTGAAGCTCCGAAAAGAAACAGAAGTGTGAGTAATGGGGATGACAGTTCTGTTGAGTGTGTGCTAGATAATGTCGACGTAGAATTTTCATCAGGTACATCAAACCAAGATGAAGATTTGGATACTGTGAATGCAATGCCAAGCACTTCTAAAGGGGGTCTTTCATCAAAAAGTAAGCTATTATTAATTGAATATTATTTTGTAAAATATATAATTTTTCTTGTCTTTATAGATGCGTACAAACGTTCTGGAGACGAGGAGTGCATAGCAGAAATGTTAAACACTGCTAAGGAAATGTCCTCCTTAATAAAAGAAAAGGACGAAAATAACAGCAATAGAAAGTTTTGCGAATATCTCTACACAAGACTTGAGGAGATGGACAGTGAAACTGCCAAACAGAAAAGGAAAGAAATGTTTTTAATCTTAGAAGATTAGTATATATCTTTTTTTTTTAAATATAAGCTAAAACTGTTCTAAAGAAGTTTTATTTTAAATGCAGTATATTCTAGGATTGTCTTTACAAAAGGAAAAATTTATTATTGACATTTTGAGAAAATGCATTCTTCATAAATTTGGCTTGCTCTAAAATGGTTAATCGAACGCTAACCTAAAATTATTGATACCAATAACGATTATTGAATTGAATTTAAGATACAAAGTCTAAAAACAAGAAAAATATTAATCGGAAACATTTAGGTATAAGTATTATTTTTTTTAAATCACCCTGTATATTGCAAATAATAATGATTATTATATTTAGTATAAATACAATAAATTGACCAACCCACACAAAAATTAAGGCCTAAAGCTTAAAAACCTATCGAATCGATTTTTGTCTTATATTTTGGGACACGCTGTATATCTGGATTTCCCCAAGGGTGATAGTTTGTCATCAGCCGGATATGGAAAATAGACATATAGATCTATAATACTCCGTCATAAAAAAAACTTAATCCCACAATTGGCACTTCAGGGAAAAATCCGGGTTCTGCTGCCGGACTACACCCCAAGACACTGTAGATAGCTGAAACAATATAAGTAGTCAGCCGATTTCTTTGTTCAAAAATATCCCCTGTCCCTCAGACAGCCGTGTGACTAAAATAGAGTCCTTTCATCCCAATATTGACAATTTGTCGCGTTGGCGCCCGCGCACGCTGCAACAGCAATGATACCATCGGTCGACCAATTATTCCGACACGGTGGACAATCTTTAAATATTGACTTTCGTTATTGGTTCCATAAAGCACCGCGAGATGTGTATTGGACATCGGCTTTTGCCTTTATTTATACCATTGCAATTCAAACCCACGAAAGCGAACACACGGCATTTTATCGCAACACATTTTCGCTCGTATTTACGCGGGTGCTTGCTAAAGCCCCAATTAGCGCCCAAGAGCAACAAGCGGCGGTCGATCAGTAGTTGGATAGCATCGCATATAACCAAATTAAACCTCTATATTCTAATCCTGTTAATTTTCAACGAAATCAACACAATTCTGCAGAAATGCGTAATATGTACATTGCAATGACACATGCAATCGTATCCAGAGGTGACGGCAACTAATTCTCGGGATGTGGCAGCATTTTACATTGTTATACTTGGTGACAACATTTATTACTTCAAAAATATAGCCGCAACGAGCGCGGCGATTGATTCAAATCTAACCAAATCGGTATTGTAACTTTTTTTTGTCAAGTTATTGCCAACAAACCAACCGTCGAAACAATAACCTCATCGGTCCTATTCGCCAGCCATTGCTCTCCAGCTCCCTACATAAAGAACACATTTCGTGTAAGGAAGTTACAAATGTGTTATTCCGCATGTCTTCAAAGATCATCGATGCGACCAAAAAACCTGGATCCATACAAAAAGAACAGTTCGTTCACTTGGACATGGACTTTCTTGCCGCCTCGGTGAGCGCGTCGTCAATTTGTTCGCAGGCCGCTTTGGGCGCCGTTTTTGATGCATTTCAAGCCAAGGCTGTCATTTCAAATGATACAGAAAGCATGCCCAAGACGCAGGTTTATTTCCGGAATCTGACAATACACCAAATAAATAGTGAGTTGCATGGCACACATTACAGATCACACATCACACAAGCCTCATCTCGCCATTATTACATCGTGAAGTAGACGTCATGCCCGGAATAAATCAGAGTATGTACTATTTGGCAAAGGCCGGTAGTTATTGTGAAATGCATTGCGAGGACGGCGACCTATCATCTTTCAATTTATTGCGATGTTTGATTCCGAGCGGCCAACCTTTCAACACAACTGACCGCTGCCCTACCGACGACGAAACAGCTAACCGACTGCCTAGTGACCGTTTCGGCAAAATATGGCTTTTTGTCCACGAAAAGGACAGAATGTTGGATGCATTGACAAAGGAAGTGTCGCATTTACACCACCCAATATGTGACACAGCACGAGATGCCGACAGCTCGAAAAGTTTCATACACTTCAACCATAAGGATTTGCTAGTGACTAGGGAATTCTTACATAAATATCACCTCCAATATTCACTGCTGGGTCAATCGGTGGGG